CTGGGTGCCATAAGTGGTGCTTATCTGTTACTTTCTTGATCTCTAAACAGAAGCGAAACAACATCTCTACGAAGTTAATGACGGAGGGCAAAGCTAGGTCTTAAGTTCCGTTGAAGTCGCCGACTAGTATAAAAGAACGCACGGCGCAGGGGATAATGCACTGCGCGCTCTTTTACTTGATTGATCTACACGAAAAGCCATTTTTTTTTTTACAGATGTCTTCGTTTTTAGTTGTGCAAGCGTTCAGTTTCGGTTTCAGTTTTGTTGAGCGTGACGGACAACAAGGGTCGGCCCAAAGGCGCTTCGCCCCTAAAACTACTTCTCCTGTCTGCAAGAAGACGCGCCCAAGGGACTGTTGCTGAATTTTATGCTTCACACAGGAAAATGGTTGATAGTGCGGTTTTCTGGCGCACAGCTCGAAAGAAGCAGACATGCACCAAAACACCGGAACGAAAAGGCAAGGTGAACCGCTGGCTCAAGGGAGGTAACTTGCCGCAGCTCATCTTCATTCAAATTTCACAACTTACGTGCAACTTCCACGACAAATTTACACCCACTATAACTTCGTAATGTAAACAACTACCCTGAAGTCAATAAGTAAAAGTAAATTAGCAATTGTGGCGCAACAGCGCAGACGACGACAGGGCGAAGCATACACAAGCCACACCTAGGACACATAAATGCTAGGCCAGCCGAGTCAATCCATAACGTTTGTGCAATTTTTCTGTACTTCTTCACCGTCCTCTGACGTTCCAATAAAGAAATTAATTGAACTGGACAGTCAGTGCTGTGTCCTGTATTATCCCGGCATTTGCACTGTTTCACCGCAATGTTCATGAAACACAAGCCCATCTAAAAACGCTAGTGAATAACTAGTTTTCGTAAATTAGTCTCATCAAAGTGATTTTAGTTGCGACGAAGTATATTTCTGCCTTGTCATACAGTACGTGCGAAAACGACGGGGGGGGGGGGGGGGGGTGCATGTCAGAATTTTCAAGAAAAAAACTGCATTTTCTGTGTGCAGCATAACGATAAGAAGAGCGGAAGAAAAGAAAAGCAAGAAAGTAACTACGTTCACACACGCAAATAATGTAACCTGCAGCATCGCGCCTAAACGTGCGTGCTGCGTGAAATAACGTGTTGTTGTCGATAGTTATAGCGCGAGAACAGAACGAAGACCAAGAGACAGGAGGGACACGAGCGCTCGTGTCCCTCTTGTCTCTTTGTCGTCATTCTGTTTTCGCGCTACAACTATCGTCATGTCATACCAACTAGCCCAAACTGCCACACTTCTCAGTGTTGTCGTCCTTCACCGGGGACTCGCGCTGTTGACGGCGGAAAATGGCGCCGTCGTCCACAACCCTAGCGGGTCGAGTACGGTTTTCTTGATAGGCACCTATTCAGTGCCACATTCTATGGCCGTCGAGGTGAAACGACAAACCTGCGACTTCGGCTGAAACTACAGCCTCGCGTGCAAGCGACAAGATCATAAACACAGCATGTTACAAAGCAGTAACGAAGTCCTTGGGCCGGCTGCCCCCAAGCGTGCCTATCCCGTCATCTCGGACATTCTTTTGTGGGGTGCGGGTTGTCACCTGCACCGGCTGTATTTGTCTCGGCTGTGCGCTTCTCCTGCGGGGCAGTGGCTACGGGCGGGCCCCTCTGGAATGTGCGGAAGGCCGGTTGTGTGCTACAGGAGCGACTGCCGTGAATTTCTCCTGCGTGGTCGCTTCCGAGTCCCCGCGCGTGTGCCACGTGCCTGCCACGTGCGTGAAAAGATACTTGTCTTATGTTGTGCTCTCCATGAGTGGTTGGTTCCCCGAAGTGAGATTCCACCCCTATCTTCGGAACTGCACGGCGAGGCAGCGGGAGCAGCCGGCCAGAAGAAAACAGGAGAGTGTCGCGAGAAGAGTTGTCGTTCGGACATTACTGTCCAACATGTTGCAAATAAACGTCTTGTTAAGTTTTCCTTTACGCCTGTCCCTCTGCCTCAGCTCTCTAGAGTTCTGAACGTCCCCGTGGCCTGCGGAATGACGACCACCACCCAGCTCCATGCTACCTACTGGGTCCGCTGCGGCCACCGACGCGGCTCGTAACAAGCTGAAGCGTAGATGGCTCTCGACGGCATCAATAGGATACCGACGGGCACGTAGAAGGAAAGGCCGTTGACTCGCGCCAATCTGTCCCCTCTTCGCGTAGCCGAGGCACTTGCCCTGCCTTTCACTTTTTGTTCTCCCCACTTCCTTTTGGAAGGCAAGCCGGAGCCGCCCGCTGTCGTGTGACCGATGACAGCGGAAGGCGACTCCACAAACAGCGTTGCGGGGACGAGCGGAAGTGGCCGGAGCAGCCACTGTTCGACCTCGGCGACCCTGCCCGGACCAAGAAAGCAAAAGTTAGCACGACCGGTATCCCCCTCTTCTGACGGGCGGCCGACCGATCGAGGTCCGACGAAAAGCACAATAGGACATTGTCAGGATAGCCAGCCAAATTAATGGCCCTTCTCCCTACGGATGAGGACAACGCAATGCAGCCACCAAGGGGACGAGAAAGGCAACTCCGACAGGTAATGGAAAGATTTGGTTTGAGACACCAGCAAGCCAGGCAATAAACTATGCAGGCTAACATCTTAAAATGTTATCATTGCTATCTTTGCGGGAGTTCTATGGGGGCAGACAGTCAATAAATGTCCAATGATTTACAAAAATTTGGTGGGTCTCCTACGAATCCATTATCGACCCAAGCTCTTCCGGTAAGCAAGCCAATTTATCAAGGAATCCTAAAAGTAACTTGTGCAACATGTGCCCAACTCACGAGGGGGCGCAGCCAGAATGAATTTTTAGGGGGGGGGGGGGGACAACTGCACATTAAGTATGTTTGTGCATATGCATGCATATATATACATAAGCAAATGCAAAATTGAGTTTTCCTGGGGAGGACGAGGAAGGGAGGAGGGATTTTAAATGGAACTTCCAACACACTTCCTGGCTACCCTAGCGCAGGTCACGTGACCGTTTCAAATGGTGATAATTATCATATATGCCACAGGGAGCGATCCGAATTTTGTAAGCATAGTGGAAGAAGTTGTGCACACAGGATGTGGCTTGGGCAGACATTTGCACATCAAAGAACCCACCTTAAACCAAACACACTGGGCCGAACCAACTGAGCGCAGGTTCAAGACTTGGACATAACTTATGTTTTCAGTTGTCAAAGGTCTCCGCAGCAGCAGTGATGGTTTACACCGTATAGGACACTACAAAATCCCACAAGCGAGGTCGAAAGTGAGCTCGGCATGCTGCTTAGTTGCTGTGACAAAGGCACTATCGGCAAGAAATTCATTCAAATCTGGTGACCCTTAACATAAACAAACCTTTTGTAAGAGTTTGACAGTGTGTCAAAAAGATATTGTGACAAACAATGTCATGTGTAGCTACTTAATTCAGAGAGTCGGGTGAGTTTCCTTCTGTCCTCACTTTTTCTGACACAGTGCAATAGCATTGATAGAGCAGCACTGTTTCTACAGCCTTCCTGTGACACCGAGGAGAATATCAGAAACAGAGGATGTCAATGTTTTGCTTGTTGCAACCAGTCACTTACGTAAACAATTATGTGTAGTTCATTGCTTACAACCAACCACACGTCGGCAGTATTGTAGCCATCAATTTTTTTTAGTTGGGAACAGTCACTGTAACTTAGTTACATTATTGAGTAATGTAACCGACTACACGTAATGTGTACCTTACCGACCAGGCAATGTGGTTCTGTTTAATAGAACTTGGAAGGAACGACGGAAGACCAGTACCTGCAGAGCCATGAGCAGCTTTGTTTTTGCAACTGCATGCTGGAATAGGCGAACCCGAGTTCTCATTATTCGCTTTCTCATCCACCATCACCACTAGACGTTGAACAAATAATTGCACCAGTGCTAATGTGACCAAACAGCAATGTTCACTTCACATTTTATGTATATAATTATTTATATCCATTGGCCCTACAGAAAGCACCTACTCAGATGGAGTTCGATCACGAGCAAATGCAACGCACAGCACCTCGCAGAGGACCAGGACAAATCGTGGCAGTGTAGCCCCAATCTTGTACACTGCATTTTTATATGCATCATAACACAGCCCTTTCCTCGGGCTATATTTTACATTCTGTAAAATTTAGAATTTAAATATTTTATCTTTGTGCACTATTTTTTAATTTTATTTATCTTGTTGGATGGACACGGCACATTGGATACGGCTGCCTCTTAGATCCCCAGTCTTAGCAGTCAGTTTCTTTTTTTTTTTTTTGAGCCTTTATTTTGCAGATCTTTCATTTTAGATAGGAAATGATTCTCTATGAATTTTTACGGTTTGAATTTCATTGACAGTTCCCAAATTTCCTAGTCTGTTGTAGCACATATAAATCTTTCACATCACATTACTGTGGATGCCTTGCGGAAACGAGTGCTAAACCACAGAAACATTTGCTTCACTTGATATTGGATATTAAACTTACGTCTTCATGGGTTTATATGGTCTATCCTGTTTACAGATATCTATATTGTATGAACAAAATGCTCCTTTTAGCCTACGTTCCTGCTAAAGAAATGATGAGCACACTGAAGATAAAACAAGTAAACTCTAGGCCCTGCAGGGCCGGTGGCAAGAATGTCTGTGCAAGTTACCTCAAGCTAAAGGGCAAAAACCATTCTAGGGAACATTAAAGCGTCGTGTACCAGGTCATAATATTGAAGCTGCCAATGAAAACATAAGAGAGGTTTGAGAGGTAATTTATCTTTCCAGACACGAATTCTAGCGCTCATCTTACACACCGAACCACTTTTATAAAATGGCAACTCTTCTATGTGGATATATATGTTATCGTTTCTTGCAGAGATATTCACCGGTGTTTTGGTCTTACTAGTATGCAGTATTCTGCCACCGCCTATACATGCCTTGAACAACATGCATGAGAATCGGCAAGTCACATAAAAAGCATACATCACGCTGTAAGACATTAAAGGATGCTCTGCACAAGACAGTTTATTGCATACCTGTGGACAATGTCAAGGTAGAGGTGCAACACGCAATTCCAAAATTTCTCGTTGTCACACCAGAGTCCGTGGTGAAAACAACACGTGACCTGAAAAATCCATCTACAGCCAAAGCGTCTTCGAACAATCTTGTGCCACCTCCAACTCCAAAGTAGCAAGTCTTTGCAGCAACAAGACTTTGTGTTTTGTTAAGAATTACATTGATTGATAAAAGGAGTTTGACATCCCAAAAGCACCATATGATTATGAGAAATGCCGCAGTGGAGGACTCCAGAAATTTCGCCAACCTGGGGTTCTTTAACGTGCACCCAAATCTGAGCACATGAGCCACAGCCTTTTCGCCTCCATCAAAAATGCAGCCACTGCAGCCAGGATTCGATTCCGCGATTTGCGGGTCAGCAGCCGAGTACCTTAGCCACTAGACCACTGCGGCGGGCACAGGATTACATTGAAGGCACTCCCAAATAATGTCAGGAAATCTGCTCCACTGTCACGGAAATGAAAAGTATACGATCACTGCGTACTGCCGATTATAACATATGGGGCAGGACGTGGAGGATAACAGAGCAACTCGAGAAAAAGTTGGTGACTATGCACGCACCGTGCAATAGAACATGAAATGATAGAAGTAACGGTTAGGAGTAACAATAAGGGATCACTGAGCTATTCCTTGATGGTGCCGGCAAGAAGGGTAACTTTTGAATTGCATGTGTTTGATTCTTTCAACGTACCTTGTGTCCTAAAACATAAAGACCCCTGGGCGTTTATATTTTAGACATAACCATTCAGAAAATGGTCATGCTTTCAACATTACTTTTATGCTCAATTACCTGATGACAGTGATTGTTTGCTGCTGTTGTTTATAACACACAATAAATTTTGAATGGACCACATTCTTGGTGAGGCCTCATAATGCAGCACCTAATTTAAGATAGAGAAGCGCTTCGACACAGGAAATTCTATTAGAAGACAAAACTTATTATTCAGACACTGTTTTTTATGTCTAATGCAAAGCAATGCAGACAGCAACAAAGACTCATTAAAAAGCAACGTAGCCATTAGAAAAAAATCATTACACAAGCCAATGGGGACAGTAATATAATAATATACAAACATAGCAGCATGCATCAGCATTAGCTATGATTCCAGCTCAATAAAATATTCTCATTACTTTAGAGTCACTCCTCGTATGTTCTCAATCCACATCTTTGTGTAACTTGTGCTCAATGTTATATGACGCATTTACCTACAGGGCTTACTGCGCTACCCTACGCCTCTTCTTATATGTCTCTATAAACATCAAAATACTGGGATTATAGATATGCATTGTAAAAATTGGGAGGACACTTGCACTTTATCTTCAAGGGCACATCCCTATAGCGAAATCACGCTTCATGTGCATTGTCTTTGAAACTGCTAGCCTGCTTCGATTCTCGGAGCATACCTCAACCGTGCTGTAAGGAAACGGAACTACTGTGCGCGCAGCGCTGGCCATTCCAAAGTATCATTGAATGCCTGTTGCAACCACAGGCATTTTTTAAGGCATTTGTTAGGAGCTCACTACCCCAAAATTATTCCTTTTTTGAATCAGCAAAGGGCCCACTATGCGTTCGTGGGGCGCAACAGGCAAACCAATGCAACTGTTCACTTTGTTGATGGTTATGCTGCTGCTGCTGATTAAATATGTCCGAGTGCTATGTAATGGTTGGGCCTTTAAAACACCCACTCGCTGCTCAATTCACGTGTTTTGATACCTGGTGCAATTCTAAACTTCACCCACGCAATATAGAATGTCTTGGGGAGACTCTTTGTACAACATGACATTAATATATAGTAGTATGTTTTCAAGAGCAGTATCAGAAAATCACGTGACACTGGTAGAACGCCTGCTTGCCATGCATGTGGCCTGTGTTTGATCCTCACTCAGACCCAAGAATTCTAGCTATTTAATATTTCCTTCGCATCTCTCGATTTTTCAGCCATGGACAAGATGATGATTTTTCACTCAGGACCAACAAAGCTGACAACAATGCAGAAATTTCTGTGAAACGTGCTTTTTAATGCTATTATGTTAAAACAAATCGGTCACATTAAAGGGGCCCTGCAACATTTTTTTAGCACGATGAGAAAACACTGCAGATCAAAATAGTCGAGGCTTCTAAGATCACACATTATGGCAATGCAAGCAGCCTGGAATTCACAATGAATTCTCAAAGTGAACTAGAAATTGTTACCTCTTCTTTTGACAAATAATGCCATATACTCAAATTTACAGCCACTGGCTGATTTGAGCTTTGCGACCTGCCTATTTATTGCAGCCGCTTTGGGAGGCTGCCATATGTCCGCATCAGCATTCATCACCACACTGAAAGTATGCAGCACGTTCAAAGAGAAAAAAAAAAATTGAAAAAGTGCAGAAGGTCACGACGCACGCTTGACCTAACTTCTTCTTTAGTGCCATTTTTCCCTGCTTAACTTCTAGAGCTTGCTGAGATTATAGATGCATGCGACAAATCTCAGTAACTCCACATGTGCTAGATTTTTCAAAATTCGGCAGACCCCAAGTATCATGGGAATCGATGTTTTGTCAAGCATGCGGATGTCGGGTAAATTTTTATTGAGCAAGACATTACAAAATTACGCTCAAGCTATGTACAAACGTTTTACAGCAACTAATTTGTGAGGCAACAAACTTCTTTAATGAAGCGCTTCTATGGTTACTTAGAGAAGTGTTGCAGGGCTCCTTTAAAGTCTTTTGATAAGTTTCTCTTATGTTTTTTGATGTTTACGCTGTGTAATGCCAGTCCCATTTCAGGCAGCTCTTATCTAGCATTATATTTTCCTGAATGGTGCATTCTTTTTCTGCTGCCCATTAAAAAAATGTAACCAAGGAGTTATGGTGTATGTGCTATTCAAGGCTACTAACATTCTTGCCAGGCAAAATATTTCCCATGGCTAGACAAAGCAGCAAAGGATACACAATACCAGTGCGCTTGATTGCCTTCTTCAGCACTGCAATCAAGGATGGGTAACTGGTGGTGTTGTAAATTGTTTCGCTTGTCAAAATGAAATCATATCTGAAAAAAGAAAGAGGAGTTAATACGTTTTGCTACCTTACTAACACAGAAAGCTCCCAGAATGATGCAAAAATGCTCTTCCTCTGTCCTTGTCTATATTTTTGCGCTGTTTTTGCTTCCCAAGTATGAACCGCAACTAGCCCAACTTTTGCTATTATTGAAAAATGCTAATGCTGAAAAAACTTACATTCGGATGATTCATGCAGACCTTGCAACCAGTTTAAACATTTAAAAAAAATGCCCTCAATGACAATGCACAAAATACTGCCTCTCTGGACCTAGCGAACTTGAAGACTGAAGTGTGTTGTTAGGTGCATGGCATAACTGGCAAAGTTATTATTTTGCAGTAGCACAATCTACTTTGCGGCAGCAACTTGCAACCAATAAATGCTGAGTTCTCCCATTATTACAGACACAGCAAGAGTGTAATGCACGCGAAAAATGTTTGTCTGTTCGGCATGACATAGAAGACAAAGCCACTTTTACGTCACAGGATGTTGTTGACTTAACGGTCAAGCACAATGACATGTTGATTAGGCTAAACTGAGTACAATCGAATAGAATATGAAATCAAAGCAAGCTTCACAGCAATTCAGGCCCTATAACTGCCAATTTTTCAAGCTTTCATTGTCTCTAACAAGCTTCTTAACAAAATACATGTAGAGATGTAGCTAGAATTGTGGATGTGTAAAGATGAAAACGTGTAAGATAAGTACTTGGGTATTATTAATCTTATCCAAAAAAGGACCCCGATGTATGCACACATTAAACTCTTGGCTTATATGCACGAAAATCATTATATGATATTTAGGGCTGCAGTAGTATGGAGATGTTTGACCAAATTTGACCACATTGAATTCCTTGAATGGCCCCTAAATCACCCAGAGGTTGAAATGTAGAGTTGGTGAGGAAGTTGTGTAAAAGTCTAGAACGAACACGTAGCCGTAAAAATTTTTTGAATTTATGTCATAATAGCGGAGTTAGATATGTTTGATGATAGAAACGCAGCAGTCGCTCCTTTCGCTCTTTCCTTCGCTACTCTCCGCTGGTCTCCTTTCCAAAAGCCGCTTTGCCCTCCTCACTTCCACCAATCTCGCGTGGCATATGTTAGCGCTGCTGCGCTGTTCGAAATACAATCTACTTCTGGTTGCTGCGACTTCGTCAAACCCGTGCTTGTTGGTTAAACATCGTTGCCACACTGGCCTGTGCTCCTACAATTTATGCCGGTATGGACCCTGTGTTGAGCTCAAACCTTCAAGGGACCACCAACATGATGAATCGGTACAGTGACACGCAGCGCCAGAGCACCTGCGTGCAAGATGAGGAGCCCCCTGCCACTGTAACACGACAAACAACAAAGCATGCGGGCAGCTGCTTGTAGCCTAATGGGAAGCCATAGGCTCTCGTTTAAACAATCGCAGCATCACTTGCACTACGCATCACAAATTACACTTCATGACATCACATGAAGGCAGGAAGAGCCTGAATAGGAGGAAGGATTGTTTCGTGGAATTAGAGGAGCGCCCACAGCTCACAGGTCTGCCTCTTTGATCGTGACGGCATTCTGCATACAATGTACAAGTTTATAATAGCAATGTTTGAAAAAATATCAAGTTGTTTAGGGGCCCTTTAATGTGAACCGAATGCATAGCACACAGGCATTTCAGCATCTTACTCTAACTGCAATGCAGCTGCATTATGTTTCGCATGCTCTATCGACAATGAAAGCTGAGCAGTCAATGTCGGTGGCCCGTGCTCTTAAGCGCGCACAAACCCCCTTCCGCAGCTCGCTTAACCACTTGCACAGTAACAGTAATAGCACTCTATGTCTCCGACATGCTGCCATGCCATTTACTCCTCACCTTATTCAATTGCTGTCATGTGACACCAACAGTTGACTTAAAAATACATTCAAAAGAATAAGTTTTAAAATTTGTGTCCTCAAACTCTGCAGGATGATGTGTATCTGTGCAGAGGTACTATGGCAGGTAAACATGCATGCTGTCATGCCCATATGCACAAGCAGGTGATTTTAGTTCACACATACTGTCTCCAATTAGTGGTAATAGAAACTTCTGTACGCTCAGACTCTGCTGCGGAACAGAATGAAGCAGTCATTGATGTCATCTACAGTATTCTGACACATACATGATCCATCATAAAAGGAATGTGCATTATCTGGGAAAAATATATTAATAGGATCTGTAGAAATTGTAAAAATTCTTGAATATACTGTACCCCTGCAACGGAAGATCAACGGAGACTAGATTTACATGCCTGGAAGGCACACTAAGAGACCTCTACTGGAATGTCTCTAAGGAATGTTGTAAAATACTTTTGAATGCTTTCACGCTCTCCCACATGCTTTCTTTTCACCTGTGTCTTCAGTCAGAGAGTCCATAGACAATGTTGTTGATCTTGTCACGTCTGTACAACAGCAGAAGAGCCTAAAGAGATTATCAGCGGCATTTTTCTTGGATATTAAGGCTGCATACGATAATGTATTACATGAAACCATCCTGGACGCCTTGGGCAGCATCGGATTGGGAGGCCGCGTTTACCAATGGATCTACAGCTATTTGAAGGACAGAACCTTCTTCGTTCAGACAGAAGATGGCGCAACAAGGCAACATCATACTTATCGCGGCGTACCTCAAGGTGGGGTCCTAAGCCCCATACTTTTCAACCTTGCGCTCTCGGCCTCGTTGACGTCCTGCCACACTCCGTACATCTGTCGATATATGCGGACGACATCTGCATCTGGGCATCAGGGGTCACGCGTCTACACGTACGAACCAGGCTTCAGACAGCGGCTACACTGACGTCAAACTACCTTCAAGGACGAGGACTGGAGCTGTCATATGAGAAATGCTCACTAGTTGCATTTACGCGCAAGACAATGATGCCATACGGCATCAGAATTAATGGACACACAATCAGCTATTAAAAGACTCACCGTTTCCTGGGAGTAATATTAGATCGTGATTTGTCTTGGAGCCCTCATATCGCTTACATGAAGAAGAAACTGACCATGATCACCCACGTCCTAAGGTTTCTTGCGGGAAAATCATGGGGTGCATCGGTACGAGCCATGCTTCAACTATATGCTGCACTTTTTCTTGGCTTCATGCGCTACAGCCTACCTGTGCTTGGCAAGGCCCGCATAACAAACGTACACGTCCTCCAGTCATTACAAGCTCAAGCACTGAGAATATGCCTCGGGCTGCCGAGATGCGCATCCTCAGCAGCGACTGTCGCAATCGCTCATGAACACCCTATCACAAGCTGCATTCGTGTCGATGCTTTAAGAACGCACATAAGACATGCCACCCGGATTCAATCGCATCACCTCGCCTCCCTTCCAACTTCCAGGCCATGCTCTGCGTTCTGCTCTATTATTGCCCCACATCGCACGGTGATTCCAACGAACTTCACGCACGCAGCAAGACGGTCGTTACCATTGTGGTGTCTACATCCACTGGAAGCCCTGATAACCATCCCCGGAATGCAAAAGAAGAAAAATTTGTCAAATTTGGCCCTAAAACAAACAACATTACTGTTTCTGCATGAGAAACGCAGTGGACGCATTCACATTTACACGGATGGGTCGGTCACTTCAACAAGTTCAATAGGCGCAGTGGTAATTCCGGAGAAATCCATCACGATAAAGTTCAGGACCTCGCATCTGACATAATCCACGGCTGTCGAACTCGCCACCATTCGTGCCGCTCTGGAGTTCCTAGTTGAAGAACCGCAACAGACATGGTCAATATTCTCCGACTCCAAAGCAGCTCTCCAGGGCATTGCCTCGCCATATCGTCATGGACCAAACGAACAGCTAATTGCTGAAATACGACTGCTTCATCACCGGGCTATAGAGAAACAACATGACATAGCGTATCAATGGATACCAGGCCACTCCAGCATTGATGGAAACGACCCTGCAGATGAAGCAGCCCGAACTGCTCATGATGATGCCCCTTGTGTAGCTATACCATTATCAAGAACGAACGCCGCTGCAAGGCTTCGATCACTTGCACGAGAACTGACACTCGCTCAGTGGAATTCACCGGCATTCACCAACGTCTGCCTTCATAATTTGGACCCACACCTACAGCTCAGTCTTCCGTCAGAAATAACCGGAGCAGAGGAGACACTTTTGTGCCGTCTGTGGATTGGGGTGGCCTTTACGAATGCTTATTCGTTTCGAATCGGAATGGCCAGAAGCACGACATGTGACAACTGTGGCTGCGCAGAGACTTTCTCCCGCTTTCTCTGCGAGTGTCCCCGCATCAGCGTGCCAAGAAAAGAACTGTCAAAAGCTTTAGATAGAATAGACAATCGCCAATTGTCAGAAGAAAGGGTATTAGGACACTGGCCGAGACCGTTTTCTGCACACAAGGCATTGAGAGCGTTGTTGCGCTTTCCGCGGGCAAGTGGTCATAGAGACACTGCAACCAGCGTCGTGGATCGTCTCATGACCTTCTCTCTCTTTTTTTTTACGTCTCTTTTCTCTCATCCTTTATTCCCCTTACCCCCTTCCTCAGTACAGGGTAGCCAGCCGGTCTGAGCACTGGCTAACCTCCCTGTCTTTCCTCATTTATTCATCCTCCTCCTCCTTCAGTCAGAGAGACAAAGAAAAAGTCGTGCGGAGCCAAACTGCGAAGGGAATGGAAGACTACTGGGGTGCTGCGTCGAGAGAGGAAGCTGGTAACGATAGGGACATGTAGCTGGGGGTATTGTCATAGCGTGGCTTGACGTGGCTTTAGCGTCGGTTCTCAAGTCCTTGACCCGGCGTTTCAATTTCGAGTGCCTCCAGTAAAAGGCAGTGTTGACAGTTTCTCCACGCGATACAAACTCAATTTGCTGGAGTGAGATCAGTCGATAATCGAAATGCAAAACTTCGTGCACAGGATCCACACTTTCATTGTTTCTTGTCATTGTTCTGCATCCATAACAGCATTCAGCAGTGACCTCCTCCTCGCCCTCCTTGAACGCTTTGAGACACCTGCCAGACTGTGACCTTGAATTGCAGCGATCCTTGCGGGCCTCTTGAAGTATCAGTAATGTTTCTGTTTCATTCTTTCTGAACTTCACGCAAGATTTCACAGCGTATTGCTGTTTAAGTGGAGGCTCCTTCGCGCCATTTTACAAAGTAGAAAAAAGCGTTTCATGCAGAGGCACATCTTTTTGCTCGCACTGCTAGGAGTAAACTGTCGACTGGCTGCAATAGAACAGAAAGTCCCCGAATACATTGCCCGATGTGTTTTACCACGCTGCCATGGATCGTTCCATGCCCCGCCGCGGTGGTCTAGTGGCTAAGGTACTCGGCTGCTGACCCGCACGTCGCGGGTTCGAATCCCGGCTGCGGCGGCTGCATTTCCAATGGAGGCGGAAATGTTGTAGGCCCGTGTGCTCAGATTTGAGTGCACGTTAAAGAACCCCAGGTGGTCGAAATTTCCGGAGCCCTCCACTACGGCGTCTCTCATAATCACATGGTAGTTTTGGGACGTTAAACCCCACATATCAATCAATCAAATCAATCATGGATTGTCCCATCCCAATAAAATCATGCGCACTGCTTTCATAACGCACCCTTTATTAAAACGTGCACCAGGTCCCCATTCCCCAACATTTCCACTGGCATATACTCACTGTTTATTCGCATGAGGAATTTAGGTGCAAAGATAAGGAAAGTTGGCTAATCATTAGCAGAGTGTATTCCAATGCTTCAAATGCAAGACTGCATGACAAGAATAGCGAGAATGACTGATTGGGCAAGTTGGCAATTCACAATAATGGAAATACAAGCAAATAATCTACGCAGGAACACAGGGACAAGCATTAGTATCAGAAATAGAGAGACGCGTATTTTCCCCACTCCATTTCTCTCCCTTTGCATTCTTGTCAATGTAATGCTACATCTTTGATTAGCAATAATGCTTTTTTGCCCCTGTTACTATAATTTTCATCCCTTTTTCTTCCCCACCTTTTCATTTTACGTTGGCTTGGTCAACTTGTGGTTTATCCCAAAGTGACGTAGGGACACCGCAGATAAAGGGTCTGGCTCATTTAAACCACCTGTGTGTTCTTTAGTGAGCATAGAGATTATATAGCACACGAGCCTCTAGCATCTCATCTCCATTGACATGTAACCGCCACAGCCAGGATGAAGCCCACCATCTTTCGGGTAAGCAGTTTTGCCTTAAATAACCATTGAGCCACTGCAGTGGCTAACTTCCTCTCCTCTCGTATCGTTACCTCAGGGCTCAGTACCTGGCTAGGACATATTAGCTCGAGCTGACCTCTCAGTTTTTCTTTCACGATAATTCTCACCGCCAACACGTTGGACCAGCTCTTTCAGCCAAAAGCCTTATCAATTGTATGCATTCATGTTGGTAAAATGTGTGCAATAGCTGTAAAAGCAACTGGATCAAAAATATTTGCAATACATTTTAGTTGTGAGCTAACAAATCAGCACAACAACATCCATTAATGCTCTTACTTGGAAGGTGCAATGTTGTCTGCTAATGCACTCCAATCGCCTGCATAGAAATGACACCTTTTCTTCACCCGAGTGCCAATGTTGGAAAAGGCATTGGGTATAGTGATCAGTTCCAGCACCTGCTTGTTCTGAAGTAGTAGAAAAAAAATAAGACACTTTACAGAGCATCGTGATGCAATTTGTAGTAGTAATACAACGCACATTGCTTGCACTCTGTTGAAAAGCTTACAAGAAATGATATTGCTCTTGTGTGTTGTGCCGAAAGTTAACCTTGTTTGAGTCCTAATACTACAACAGGCCTGCGCAAATGCCAGCAGCAGCAGCTTCTTGTTGAGGACAGCAATTCTCACTTCTTCACACTAAAATTTTGAAAATATGTCATACTGAAGGTAATGAATATTGACTTTTCCCAAGTTACGTATTACTGAAAGCAAAACCAGGTACCTTTATCTTTCAGATTTTTTTTGTTTTCTACCACAGTCCCCCCCCCCCTTTCTTTATTATTAATTGGGAAATTTGAAAATACGCTCCAATAGAACTTCATTCTATTGAAACAACTGCCATGGACGAGAACAGAACCTATGACAGTGACCTCAGCAGAAAAATGTCATGGCTGCTGATCCACAGCGAGTCTTTCCTCATCAAGCCAGGGCACTAACACGATTACCACTGCAAGCAGTAGGTTCTTGTACGTCAGGAGAAATCAATAATATTTTCAACAATTTCAAACAGTATGTCATCAGAAACAAACAGTGCTTTCTCATAGAATTTGGAAAATGTATTATTATTGTATTATTAAGAAACAACTGGCAGTGCTGTGGAACTACCAATGCTGAGGTGAACCTGTTTTTACATAAAAAGCTTAGCTTAAGTTTATTTTTGGCTGCCTAACTCTTCACATTGTTGTTGAAGTGCTTGGACACTTTTTTCGCTGTGTAAATAGGGGAGATCCTAGACAGTGTAACAGTAAACTTGGCTGATTTTAAAGCTGAAACATCTGATGGTCATATTGTCACATGCTTGATCAAGAAAGACGATGGCAGTCGTGTATGTGCCATGAAGAACTATGAAATGGATGAAAAAGAAGAACTCGCTTGCGCATTCTATTAAAGAGACCGACCTGCTTCTGCTGTCTCAATCTCTGCGGCAAGACCTCTGTTTTGACGTCGTGACAATATCTATAACTTTTTGTGGTCTCTGAGGTCATACTGGCAAAGCATTGTTAAGGCTAAGGAAGCAACATTATGCATTGAGGAGGTGTGTGCTATATCTACTGATATCATATGACCCAAAGGTGTTCCCAAATTAAAATTGCTTCAATCGGAGGCACATTCACAGTACTGCAAAACATGTTGTTTAACAGTCACTGACACAATACAGCAAAGTCAAACAAAAATAGTCTGCAAGAGGAGAAAAACGGCAACAATTTCTTTCACATTGCGAAATAAACTGCAGGCATCATGTCCATTTGCATGACATTTAATTATAATAATCCAAGACAATATGGTGTACGTTTGAACAGCTGTGTTGGATCTATATAAAGTTTATGAATGCATAAAATAAATAGAAGCAGTTACAAGACGACTGTCATGCCTGACTCACATAGTCTTGGAAGTCTACGAAAGCCCCCTTGAGGCAGGCCAAAAGGCCTGGAAGGCCAGCACCACAACCAAGCTGGAAAAATATTGCACAAACAGGCAATGAAATCAAAGGCTGTTCTTTTTATTATATTAAGCATAGTGCTTTTCACACCATAAGCACTTGAAGGCTGATTTATTGTTGGTTGCAAGACGCAACATTTACTATTATCCTTGGTTCCACTACTGACTCTCAAATAATGAGACAAAACACCACGCAGCATTACGAAAGTTGCAACCAGAAAAGGTTATTTATTATTTTTCATGAAGGATCTGCACAGCACTACTACAGCATTGCTGATATATATATATATATATATATATATATATATATATATATATATATATATATATATATATATATATATATATATATATATATATATATATATATATATATATATGAGGACGAAATAGGCACTACGGTGCGTAATTGATCGCTGTTTTGCATTTTTGCACCCTGACCTTACTAGCTAGGCATAAAAAAAAGCACTAGAGCAATAGGGTATATTTCAGAAACCTACCTCAAGTACTTTGCTTTCATCATCAATGCTCAGATGATTTTCAATGTACTCCGCCAAATCAATGGAGCATTCCCAAACCTTCATACCACCTTGAACAAGGAATATTTGCTCTTTAGCAGAACGAAATATTCAAAGAGAACATCATAATAATACTCTTACCTTCGTAAACACTGGGAATTATGTCAAGATTTCCTTCAGCCGCCTCAAGAACTTCACCTTTGAGGAGACTTTCCATTTGGCCACCAACTAGGAATGTAACCTTGATAGATGTCAAGTCCAACACGCTTTTCTCCAAACTTTCATGGAGCTGAAATTTCAAAGCATAAATTGAGCCTAATGCAGGCGCACAGCGCAAGGTCCACGTCTCACGTTTTCAAGCTCGTGGCTCGGCACGACCTCCTCATAAGGTGCAACAGGCTTGGTCAAGTGTTTGCACTCTGAATCAGTCGGCTCGCTTTGTTCAAGGTCCGCGTCTTCAGCATCTGGTATATCAAACTTAAACGAGAAAGACATGTCGAGGAGCGATTTTCTTCGTCTTGCGACGTCGGGAGCTCAGGCGCAAATTAAGTTCCGATACGCTATTTACAGTTGACAGCATTAGTATGCGACCCTTATAACATTTGTACGATAACTCGGTGTTGGCGCAAGAGTCTTAAAACAAGGTATCATCGAATAAATAGCGTTAATCTAACAAATGTGTGTTCAAGAAAACGGCACGCCATGTTTGTATCAGTTGGTAAATTCGCCACATTGCGGCGCGACCAGTAACTGACCAGTTTTGGTTTCGTTGTACAAGAAATTAAGTTTCGGATTCTTCGAGACGTAGAAGTCTGCTAAAGTCATGGTACTCAAATATATAAAGAATGATAAAGACAGACTAGTTACTGAGATGAAGTAAGCTTTTCGAAAGAGGCATGCCCAATATGGTCTCGACGTCAGCACCAATTAACATAGTGGAGTGAAATTATTGGCGTAGACTGTGTGCAAGAAAGAGAGGGTAATCTTGGGCTTCTCAGCACGCATTCACCTTTCTCACTTCATCCACAGAAACGCAAGACACTACCAAGCGTTTTACCAAGAAGGGAAAAAAATCATTACCAGCTAGATCACCAAACAGGACTCCTAGGGGCAAAGCTCCCGAAGCCGTGGGTTTGTCCCTCCTAGCTCGTACTTGACCGCCTAGTTCGATGACTCACTCAGCAGGTGTGGACGGACGGACGGACGGACAGACAGACAGACAGACAGACAGACAGACAGACAGACAGACAGACAGACAGACAGACAGACAGACAGACAGACAGATGATTCTCGGTTTACCGATAAAACCCTCCGAAGCTTCGCCCCACTTATCATATCATTCACTCCGTGGATATGCTGTGATTTTTTTTTTAGCTGCAGACTTTCGGTTACGCAATAGAGGTCGAAGTTTACTAATATCCACAAGAATTCCGTCAATTTACGGCTGGAGGTTCATCCATTTCGAGCTGTATTTCCAGCTGGAAAGATTTATGGTTTAATAATCCAGCTGGAAATGAAATCTTTTTTTTCATCTATGTAGGTTTATTGGGTACAACTAAAAGTCTTGGTGTGACGCCCATTCTGCGCACCGTTTACTAATTATGTGCGTGGCCACACATGTGCACGACGGACGTCCGTCGAGCAAGCGGAGTAAAAAAAAAAAAGAACGATAGCACGCGCGGCTCAGAAAATAAGAGAGTGCGGAAGGCCGAGCATCTGCAAGCGAGCGCGCAACGTATACGCCAGCTTGATCTGTTGCCAAGCGCGGCTTCTATTACGTAGTTGTCCCGCGCGTCGCGCTCCTTTCCGCGTCTTTTCATTGAACGTCCCCGCAATAAACAACCACACGAGGAAACCAGGCGGACGCCTCGATCGTTTGGCTTGCATACGCGCATTCATGTACACGTCTGGGAAGGCCGGCAGCGACCTGGCTTCAACACTGCCTTTGTTTATTTTCAAAAGTGACCGGGTTATCTGACTTTCGGGCGACGCACTATCAGCTGCGGAGCTGAAAGAGGGCCCGACACCTCCTTGTCCAAGGGTCGAGAGGCGCCGCTTGAAGGCACTTCTCGGACTTTCTGTCCGCGGAGTCTGCGGGTTGCGAGCGTGCCGCCGAGCACGTGAAAGCGCGCGCTCGGCTGTTCCTAAATTGCCGTCCAAGTGGACGACGCGATGTTGAGCGGACGTTTAGCGCTCGTGACCGGCGGGGGCAGCGGGATAGGCCGCGCCGTTTGCCTCGGTCTGGCCCAGGAAGGTTCTCGAGTTGTCATCGCCGACGTCAACAAGGATGCCGCCCGGGACACCCTCCGGATGATGCCCAGTGAGTACCAACTCCGAACCATCTGGCACTGCGGGCCCTCGTCGAAATAACATTCGCACTACTTTCTCGTTGCGTGCACTTATTTGAAATGTGACACATTGATTGCCGCTGAACGCTGTACTAAGGGTCGTAAATTTTTTGTAAAGTTTAGACGTGCGTGCTTTTTGTGTAATTAGGAAACACTGTAATGAGGCCTTCAGTGGGCTGGAGCTCGTACTGCAAATGCAGGCTACAGTGCGCGAGTATAAGGTCATAGTCATATCTATCTATGGCTGTAACGATAAGCAGTCTTCTGCTGAGGTGGATGGTCATGCAAGTGTGAAAATGGAGTAAGAAAACTATAGGTACGTTCAGTGACATGAAAAAAAAATTAAAATCTAAGCATATGATTTATTTCCGCTTTACTAATATGTTTTATAAACATTTTTCAAGGATGCATCTTACTTTGCGAGTGTTTAACCAAGGCACAGTGTTTTTAACACGAAAAAAACCATTTGGCCCATTTTGAGGACACTTCCGGCAAGCGATAAACTTTGCAAATGACACTGCGTGCGTCGAACGTTATAATTTATAGGTCTGAACGTTAAACAGAAAGACGCACTGTCACTTTGAGTGACAGGCACCGTCATATGCGCGTCTGTGGTTTAGATTCTGCCTATTATACTTCACATCGACTACAGATTGGCCGCAATAGCATGTGCAAGAAAACGAAACGGGGGCAATCTAAAGCACAGGATGGACCTGGCTCTTCCAAAGATAAACGTCAACGACTCTCCGACCTCATGATACCGATTCGCGCTGCCTTGCCTGTTCAGGCAACAAAAGCTTCATATCTAACCAGCCCTACACGAATCGTAGATCTTTTTTTATTATTCTTTTTTTTTCACCGCTATTCCCGTTTCATTTTCTCTCCACTTCAGATGAACTACTAAGCTAGATAACGAGGATAAGTGATGAGCCATGATAAGACCATGACCTTCGAGGGTGCGCTGGGGAACACTATAGAATTATATGAAGTAGTTTAATTGCGGGATAAAAAAAACGAAAACAAGAAAACGTTCATAGTACACTATCTTATAATACCAGCCGTGTTGCAAGTTGTCACCATTGCGCATATTTATTCTGAAAGACGTATTGATCAGTACAGGCCCACACTCAGCAACTGAATTCCAGATGATTAAGTCAAATAGTATTAGGACAATAAATGAATTCAATAATTAAATTCAAGGATGCGTCAATAAGATTTGCTCTGGTTTCATGCAGGACTTTTTTTCTTCATTACACATGAAATATCTACGTATGAATGCATTTTAATTAGTACGCTCCAAAGTTTCCTCCATTTGTAACATGCTTTCGTGATACATGAACCTCTCGTTTTCCAACTTTGACGCCACCCCCGATAATTGAATGCGAACAGAGAGCAAAATGAGCGTCTAACTTGGCGCAGTTTCTAGAGAGAAAAGCATTTATTGAACGAAGCTTGTGAGTGAAGGTGGGAGTCAGTGAGTCTGAATGAGCTCTACAAGTATTGCCGACTTGTGGTCACGAGGGGCATCTTCAGAGCTTGAGTTATAAAGTACAGAGGGTCCCTTATTCCAGGAACCATCTGGCTTGGACAGCCCGCCGGGCTTGAGCGACGAGTTGACGCTGCTCGACAGGTCCGACTGGGAGATCGCAGCCTCCCACGCTTCACTGAGGAGGTCCGCATCTGGTACTGCTGCGTAAATTCTAGTTTGGTGCATGCAAGCAGTGCTTAGAATGAGCTCATAAGGCGTGCATAAGGTTTCGCCTTCGGGGGGTGGGGGTGGGGGGCAAACATTTGTCGCAGCACCCCCCGCTCTCTGTGTTATGAATATTGCCCCCCCCCCCCCATCTCTATCATGTGCCCTCTCCCCCCTCCTCTCAGTTAACTACAGGAGTGCAATCGTAATGCTGTCATCTCTTCCGAGAAAAATGACCTTACTGGTTTGCAAGCACTCAGAACTAGTTTTCGAAGATACTACGTCAAACGGCGTCAAGAAGAGAACCGATTACGTGAGACGTTGGCGTTAAAGACCGTTTACACAAGGTTTGAAGAAGTTAATTCCAGGCTAACAGACTCATGAGTCGACTCATTCGGATTCACTCAGACTCAGGTCTAGCCGTGAGTCTGAGTGAGTCCGGGTGAGTAATGTTTTGGTGAGTGTCAGTCCGGTGAAAAAAAAAAAAAAAACGTTCGTGAGTACGAGTCCGAGTGAGTCGGGCCCAGGAAAAATTTTGTGTGTCTGAGTTCAAGTTAGTCCAAAGCTCAAAATATATTCGGTGAGTGAGTCTGAGTGAACTCTACAAGGTTTGCCTACCTGTGGTCACGAGGGGCATCTTCAGAGCTTGTGTTCTAAAGTAGTTCTTCCATAGCTCGGACAGCCTGAGGCAATGGATTCGATGTCCTGCCTGTAGCATGCGCAGTCTTTTTTTTTTTCTTATTCCGCTCACTTCGTGTGCAACACTGTCTGTCACGCACGAGGTGGAGGCACTGCGTGTCCAAATATTGTACTCCTGTCGTTGCAGACGAGGCGGACCACCAAGCCCTGCAGGTGGACGTGGGCGAGGGCCATTCGGTTCGTGACCTGTTCTCGGCCATCCGGCGGCTGTACAGCTGCGCGCCCACCGTGGTGGTCAACTCGGCCGGATGCCTCACGCACAGCTTTCTCCTCAACACCGACGAGCGGGCCTTCGACGAGATGGTGCGCGTCAACCTCAAGGTACACACGTGGATAGAGAGGCAGCCCATCACCAGCTATACAAATGTGTCCAGGCGTGCATTGCATCACTAATGCCGTCGCTAATGGCTTAATGGGCTCTTCGAAAGTCCCAGCCCCTATAGGGCTGGAGGGAAATGCTTTCGAATACGCGTGAAATTACTGTACGATGTGACCATACCTTAAGAGAGAAGCGATTACAGCCTCTTTAGGAGAACGGTTTTCTTCTCTGTATTTTTGTTTGTTATCTATAGCTTTGGAAAGTAAACGCGGAAATAGCTAGTTCTGTAAGGAGAAGCTGGGAACTTCCTCCAGTCACGGCCGTTACCTTTGAACGCCGATGGAGGCGTACGGCAGCGTGCAACTAACAACATAATCTGTGCTGGGTACTCACGCCTTTGATTTTAGGCGTAATTTTCTGTGATTTCAAGATGAAGTAATCCCATTTTACCGGCTCCACGTCTGAGGTCCGACAACAGTTGGTATAGATGCATGTGTGCGGTATACTTGTTTTACAGCGAAAGCTGTTAATCATGACATCAAAACTCGGGTCACGCGTGGCGCCGTAGTTGTCCACCGCCGCCGCCGCCAGTGGTGTTCGTAACCTCTTTTGCAAACTAAGAAAAAAATGACCGCAGTTTCCCGAGTGGGAACACTGGTTAGCATGCGGAGCATATATGTTGAACTGCGATAAATGTGGTTTGTAATTTGCGACATGCGTGTGTGTTATGAGTGAACAGGAATGAACACGCACGCACGTATGCTGCGAAAGACGATGCGTATTGATGAGACACTTTGCGTATTTTGAGCAAGATGGCTTTATGGTCCGTAAAGTGAAGGGCGAGTTAGCATACATTTTCACCAGCGACATCGGACGTGGAGCGACCGCACAAACCAACCGACGAAGGGCGGTGTGCCCTGGCACTCGGTTATTTATTGCGAGCGCCGGCCCCGGCCTTCGCCTGGGCGCGTTAGCATACAGCTGGCGTACGTAAAACTAAAGGTCGCGCGGCGCGCGGAGGGGAGAAGCGAGCGCAGCGCGCGTTGAGAGGAGGAGGGGAGGCTGCGGACGGCGACGGCGCATGAATAGCCCCTAGTATAACTTGCTCCGAGTGTAGAAGAAAAACTTTGTACGAACAATGCAGAGAGGCTCGAACTCGGGTCCGCTGTGTGCCAGCCCAGAATTCTAACACTGAGCCACGACGGTGCTTAGGACTGACTTGTTCGTAAACTTGCCTTAGGCAGGCTTGATGTCGGGAAATTAATTGCGTTAGTATGTGTAATGAATGGTTTTAAAACAGCAAAAGAACAACGAGGCGTCACACAATGCGAATAGCGTAACGTGTGGGTAGTCCAATGCTTCAACCCATTACAAAATCTTTTTTTTTTGATCATCTATTGACTGTGGCGCATACCCACTTCAGGCACAATCCTCATCGTCATCAGCCACTGCATGAAGAATATTCACAAAATTCCTTGTAAGTGTTTAGCGGATGCAATGCTTCTCAGAAGAATGATGAAAAATAGCATAGCGAATGCTGCTCTACTATTGAGAAATAATAATAATAATAATAATAATAATAATAATAATAATAATAATAATAATAATAATAATAATAATAATAATAATAATAATAATAATAATAATAATAATTATTATTATTATTATTATCAGTAGTAGTAGTAGTAGTAGTAGTAGTATTGCCGTTGTAGGTACCCAGCGAGTGTGCTTGCAGCAGTTACCCAAAGAGTGTTTAGAAAAGGCTCTGATAGGCCGCTCTTATAGCTTTCCTTGACTGTGCTGCACCTTACGTGCAGGCCTGACGTTTTTTCGTCCCAGTTACTCACTGGTTTTTGTTCTTTTCTTTATTTCGGTAGCCAAACCAGATGCCTGCCTTGAACGTGTGTAGCCCTTGCTTTAATTGAAAAAAATGGTGAAGACACCTACGTGACGAGTGCCATTTTCATGACGGGCTACTGTGCGCGTCTGAAGCACTGCATGGCTCCAGAGACAGACAAGTTATTCTACGCATGTCTTTGTCGCCATTCTAGCTGACAGGGGTTTACTCATTACGTCGATTTTTTTTTTTGGGGGGGGGGGGAGAGGACGAGGGGGTTGTTGCCTGAAAGGGCATGGATGGGGGAGGGCATGATGCATTGTCTGAGTGCATATCTTTAAGAGAAGATGGTGTGGAATGATTCTTGGGGGGATGTCAGTATCCACCGGGAATTTTTCAGGTTGGGGGGGGGGGGGAGGGGTATAAGTCTTTGTTAGCTCATTTCCGCGTTCTGAAATCTGATTGCCGATAAGTGTGTGCAGCGCACTAGATAACTCTGGGCGCAAACGTTTGCCGACTTTAGCGAACAGATACAACTTCAGTATGTTTTAGTGAGATTCCATGCATGGTATAATGCAGACGGAATATTTGGGGGTGGTTACTATTCTTTGCCAAAGGTTTCCAAGCCACTTCATGAGAGCAATATACGTTGATAATTTCTGCCTCTCTACTGAATGCTCGATCCTGTAATATATGGGTTCCATTAGTTCTATAGCGTATACCACATGTATATGAGAATGAGTAACACGCTTTCTGATTTCGGCTTTGAAGGATCCAAAATTTGATTCGCTGTCAGTTATGACACTCAACTAGGAGGACCAGTTTCTCGCAAGGCAATCAAGAAACAAGAAAGAATCGGTCGACTATATTTCTTTCCCCTGTGTGACTCAACACCGTAGATCTTCAAAGATACAGATATGAACTTTTCTGGATATTCCCAGAGATGTTAATTAGCCTGATTCTGAGTTTATTAAAGATGCATGTTAACTATATTCTGGAAAGCCATGGGATGCATAACTAATCGAAAACAGAGCTAATATGCGCCTTGAGTTATATGTGTGAGAGTCGTATATATCTGTGGCAAAATAGAGTCAAATGACCTTTCTTTTAACGAGATAGCGTTAAAGAGCTGGTGTCGCAAAAAACCCGCCGCCGGCGTAGTTGTGAGTAAAAAATCGTCTGTGCGTCTGTGACCGAAAAATCAAGTTACCGAGATAGCCGCAGGAGGCCGCTACTTGTCCACGCTGCGCACGCGCGATCAGCACTGAAAAGCCACGCATTCGAAGAAAAACAAAGTGCTCAAGTTCACGAGGCGCGGTAGTTTCTTTTGCCCTGCCACTCCTCCTCTGCTTTTTTTTCTTTTTTCTTTCTTGGAATTCAGCTGGCGTACCCGAAAACTCACTTTTAGTTGAACGTCTTTTCGTAACGCTGATCACCTCTAAAAAAAAAAACGAATTATATTCTCTTACGCAGGGCACATTCCTTATCACCCAAGAGGCAGCGCGGGAAATGATGGCGGACGACAACACGTCGAAAAAGCAGGACCGGTCGATCGTGAACATCTCAACGATTCTGGGCAGCACGGGGTTCCCCAAGATGTCTTGCTATGTGGCCGCCAAATCTGGTGTCATCGGCTTCACCAAGTCAGCCGCCCTGGAGCTCGCCCCTTACGCGATCCGGTGCAACACGGTCCTTCCGGGCGTGACGGACACGCCGCTGCTGTCTCCGCTGGACGAAGAGACGGTGCAGAAGCTCATCCGTCGCTCGGCAATGCGACGCGAAGGAAAACCCGAAGACATCGCGAGCGTTTGCGTCTTCCTCGCGTCGCCGAAGAGCTCGTACGTTACGGGCGCCGCCATCGAAGTCACCGGAGGTCTTTCCGCATGACAGTCCTGTTGTACTGTCAGCTGAACTCATGGACGTATACCGCAGGCTACATCAACGTTTATATGTTCTATAGAAACGTTGGGCTGCATGGTGGATTCAATTACGCAAGGTTATTTTATGTATACGGAAAGGCTGCTAATAGAAACGAGGATTAGTTCTATTTATCTTGCCGTTAGAGAGTGAAGTTGGGACAGATGGGAAAAATGTATACTATAACGTGGCACAGGGGAGAGCGAGAGCATGGCTGCTTGAACTTCAGTTTTCGTTGTAAACTCACCGACAAAACTGATGGCAGAATATAGCTGATTCTATGTTCTTCATTTACCTTGTTTTTTTTGTTTTTTAAGCCCTGTAATGCGCATTTGTCTTGAAGAGAGGAGAAAGGGGGGGTAGTTGTTACATGGTTCATCATGTCCCCCTCCTATCATCTCTCCTTTTAGGGGCGAAGCTGCTTAAGGCGTGGGCCGTGCGTCCCCTGTATGTAGCCACCTCTCGTTCAGTCTTTGCAGTGTTCACTAGATGGCGGTACCGTCCCCTGTATGCATTATCGTCATGTAGTCACCTCTCGTTTAGTTCTTGCAGTGTTCACTAGATGACGGTACTTGCAACAGCCATATCAATCCATCCATCCGATGAAAAGATGAAGTTGTTATAAACTAGACGGCGGTACTTCTAGCTGATGATGAAAGATGCAAGATGTTATAAAATAGAAATGATGTCACATATGGCATATGACGCGTGTCATTGGTGGAAGGCAATCGTTCGATTTAGTGCGGTGACGTACGCTAGGGGAACCGATGTAATAAAATCGAGTAGGGTGCCTCGATGCGAGCGCCCTCCTAGAATGAGGACAACCGCGTCGTCTGCTAGCGCAACCGCCACTTTCTTACATCCGCCGGTCGCGGGGAGCGCCTCGATAGCGGTGGCTCCTGTTTGCAGTAGGCGCTTGCATTCTACTTTAGCTTCAATATTCATTCCTTTGCCAGAGTAGATGATGAGCGAGAGTGAACATTCAGTGACGCGTCCGCTAGTTCGAGAGGATTAGCGGAGGTATAGAGAATAATACTCTTTCTGTTATAATAAGAGTTGACAACAGTGGGCAACTGCTCGTCTTCGTAGTTGCACCGTCGCCGCGAGCTTTCTGTCGTCGCGCTCACATAGCGGAAAGTAAGAGAAATATGCTAAAGTAGATAGCTGATGTGTATATAAGTACGAATGCCCGGATCCTTACTACCATTGTCACTATTACGCGCCACCTACACGATTACATGGGGGCAAACTGTGTCATGCGCTAGGTAATGAAAACAAAGACAGGTGAAGGAGTACAATAATTTAATACCGTTACGCAAAATATATTATGGACAAGATGATTATGAACTAACTGCGCGCTTAATTCCGTCGAGTATTTTTTTTTCTCATACGTATGTGCATATAGGATACAAAAAGGAGTTGCTGTTAAGACAGACTAACACCAGCACAGGTTTTGCTTCCGTGACCTCCGGCATGTGTGGAGGGTTTCTGACGTAAATGTATGCGTAGCCTCAGTCTTGTGTAGGTGGCTACCAGCATCTTGCCTATTTCTTCCTTATGTTCTGCGCAAGTACTCAGGCATGGTCGGTCTACCTTTACAAGGTATTCTGTCGGAGAACGTATAGTGGTGACTTCATCGTGTGTACATTGTTTGTGCATCACGCAATAACACCAAAAAAGTGCTCTTCATAGTTCTTCAAAGTGCGCGTCACTTCCCTGCTCAGATAAATCAAGTTTCGTCCATCACTCACATATTCCTTGAGAACTGTGAAAGAAGCATATTCATTGCTGGCTGCACCAAGGAGGGCATCCTTGCACTGGGAACAGGATACGGACTTCAAAACGCTTTTCAGAATGTAGCGTCCAAAATAGTACAAAATGCAGCATTCCGTTGCCGTCAGCTCCTCAATGAACGAAATCTCGCAGTCGTCTATTTCTTCATACAAATTTACTGAGTGTTGCTTTTTCGCTTGAGAAAGGAGTTCGACAAGGTAGTCTCGATCGTCAAGCTCATAGCTTATTGTCCGCGGTGTATGTAGAAATTGGCTCACGCTCACAAGCCTAGGAGTACATTTCAAATCATATGCTGTTGGCACTGGCTTCATTAGATGCACTTCATGACATCAAAAACTTCTTGAAGAATTCCTGGAAGAAATTTCAATCCCTGGATCCTCCGCGCCAACTTCCTGCTAGATGGAAGGGGGTAACCCAACTTCCTCAGGGTCTCGTACCCGGTCGTTCCACAAGCGAATTTAATTTGCAAACCTTGTTTAACACTCTCCACAGACCAAGTGTGACCCATCGGTACTGTTTTTAGAAAGCGCACAAACCCTATCTGCATTCAAGAATCGTATATTTCTTTCGAAATTCTCAGCCTTACATTCAAGCTTATGGACTTGCTTTCTGAGGTTCTGGACTGCGTTCGTAGTGATGCTCTGATGTTCTCGAAGCGTGGCGGATTTTCTTTCCATGTCTGTCAATTGCTTTTTCAGCTGAGCAGAGTCTCTTTGTGTGGGAGGATCATCAGTCGAGTTTACTATGCTGACGTTCAAAGCTTCGACACCTTGGCTGTTGACTTCCCTGTTGTCCGTTGACGTTTCTTGTGACACCTCTTCAGATGGCCCAGGAAGCATTTCCACTACGTCTGATGCGGTATGAGGTACATCGGCAGGGTCGCTCACCTCTTTGTGGTTTAACCTGGGCGTAGGCAGTGCTCTTTCCCTCGGTGGCTTTCGCTTCTTCGGGGCAACTGGATGCAGAAAAATGTACAAACCGATTGTGACATCAAGCACCAGGTTCAGGGAAAACGCTAGGTTTTAGGGATTCAAAATGAAGAAGATAGAGAAAGAGAGAAAGTGCGAAGTATGTGGTGAAAAATGCAGGGGGTGAAAATGACAGCAGCCACGCTTTTCAGCGTGAGTAGGTCGTTATAGGTGCGTTTCTGAGAAAGCTTAACGCTGTAAATAGTAGTATAAAAGTTCCTTGCTCATGGCTGGTCTGTAGATGGCATGCGGTTCACATGTGCAGCTCGCACGTGTACGTAGAAATATAAGTGCGTAAGGATGAAAGGTGGGGTGTTGGAAGTTTTCTGGGAAAAAACCATTTGCGGAAAAAGTGACGCAAGTATGAGGGAGGACGCGTAGAAAGAGTGATTGCTAAAAAAGTATAGATAAAAATAAAATGGTAGTAATTATAGGAGCAATAATAATAATAAAGGTAAAACAGAGATTGAAGCGGAAACAAGACAATGGTGAAATATATCATAATTTCATCGAGGTGACATAACTATTAGTATTTTGTACGGCTCTGGATTCAGTAGCAGTGCTATAGAAATGTTAGCTTTATATATATTATATATATATATATATATATATATATATATATATATATATATATATATATGTATATATATATATTGTGAAGAAGAAGATGTGCCTGCAGCGAGCAGCATCGCCAACGCCCGGCTCTCTCGGCTCGTGCTTCGGTTTGTTGCTTTGCCGATCGCTGGACGGTTCTTCACGCTGTCTCGTCGCTGTCTTTAACGGCTAATAAACCTCCTCACATTTGGTGGAGTTGCTGGGTCTATGACACCCTTGTGTGATGTCCCATTACTGGACGCTCCTCATCAGCCGCCGAAGTTGCTCGTTCATGAAGATACCGATATTCCGCCTGGAAATTTCGCCCTTGTTCCCGTTTCATGCAACGCCTACACTGACGCTACAGTTCATTTATGCCTTCCGATATCTTCAAATGTCGTCGAGCTTTGCCGCTGCTTTTCGCAACAATTGACCTTGCCGCCGGAAGAAGCAACATGTTCGTAAGCAATCCGCTTTCCACACCTGTCACATTGCTTGCGGGGGAATGTCTCGGCCACGTGCAGGGTCTCGACCCTTCGTTTTTGTTTGATGTCCCGGACGACTACTGCGACCACCCAAAAGCACTGTCTGCACTCGGGGAGTCGTCCAATGATACGTTTTCCGGCGCCATCGCCGACACTCCCACTCCCACCGAACATGCCGACCTGCTGAATCTTCTGCATGAGTTCAGGAGTTCGTTCGATGTGTCGCAACCTTAACTGGGCCGCACATCACAAGTCAAACATCATGTTGACACCGGCATACACCAACCACTGCGTCAAAGACCATACCGTGTCTCCGCTGAAGAGCGCCGCGTCATCAACGATCAAGTCGAAGATATGCTTCGTAGAGACGTCATTCGACCATCTCACAGTCCCTGGGCGTCTCCCGTCGTCCTGGTGCGTAAGAAAGACGGATCTATCCGATTTTGCGTGGACTATCGTCGTTTGAATAAGATAACCCGCAAGGACGTCTATCCTTTGCCGCACATTGATGACGCCATTGACACCCTTCACGGAGCGGAATTTTTCTCGTCGCTAGATTTGCGGTCTGGCTACTGGCAGGTCCCAATGGCAGAAGCCGATCGCCAAAAAACGGCATTTATTACACCAGACGGACTATATGAATGTAACGTCATGCCCTTTGGGCTTTGTAACGCGCCTGCCACGTTTGAACGTCTTATGGATAATACGTTACGTGGCCTCAAATGGAATATGGGCCTCTGTTACCTCGACGATGTCGTGGTTTTCTCCCATGACTTTCCTACGCACCTCCTTCGCCTCAGGCACGTTTTGAGTTGTCTGACCAACGCTGGTCTGCAGCTTAACCTGAAAAAATGCCGCTTCGCTGCACGCGAGCTCGTCATCCTAGGCCACATCGTGTCCAAGCACGGCGTATTACCAGACCCAGCAAAACTTCGAGCAGTCGCAGAATTTCCCAAGCCGACGACCATGAAAGAACTTCGCAGTTTTGTAGGCCTATGTTCCTGTTTCCGGCGCTTTGTTCGCAATTTTGCATCTATCATGTCACCGTTAACCCAGCTTCTTCGCGGTGACGTGAACCTCACCTCCTGGTCCCCTGCATGTGACGTTGCCTTCACTACTCTGCGCCGTCTGCTCACTTCCCCACCTATTCTTCGCCACTTCAACCCGACGGCTCCTACCGAAGTGCACACCGACGCCAGTGGCGTCGGGCTAAGCGCGGTCCTCGCTCAACGAAAGCCCGGCTATTCAGAATACGTTGTAGCCTACGCTAGCCGCACTCTGACGAAAGCCGAAACTAATTACAGCGTGACAGAAAAAGAGTGTTTGGCCCTGGTGTGGGCGCTTGGAAAGTTCCGGCCGTACTTATACGGCCGCCCGTTCGATCTAGTAACTGATCACCACGCGCTTTGCTGGCTCTCCACGTTGAAAGACCCTTCTGGCCGCCTTGCG